TCCAGAATTATTTCAGAATATTTGATACTACAAACTGTCAGAACACTGCAGAGTAACACTGGTCCCATTTTTTAAAAAATGAGGCAAGTGAGCATCTAACAAGTCAAAGCATTGTTCCCAAGTTCATGCATCAATAAGGAAGAGAGCTTTGGTGTGAACTCAACTGTCTAACTTTGAAGTTCATAATATTTCTTCTAAAATGATGAGTTACTTTCTCTGGGAAATTTCCCCTACTATGCCATTAAGCAAGTATTAACAGAGTTCAAAATATTTTTGAACACTGAAATTAGAAGAGCAACACATTTAATCAAGAAATATTAGCCCCCTAAATCTGAAACTATATTTCTTTTGTCTGAGGAAGAGCTAGCATGTATTCAGTGCTTATTACGTATTTGGCACTGCCCTTCTTGTGTGTGGTAACTTAATTGATCTAGGAAATCTAGTTAATAGCAATATTCTTATTCCATAGATGTAAAAATCAAACACAGAGAGGTTAAGTAAAATGTCCTAGATCATACTGGCAGAGCTGTGATCAAAATCAATCAAGCTAGCTGCAGAGTCCAAGCCCCTAACATCATGTTTTATTGCCTCTCAGAAAATCAAAATAATTGTGTCAGATTCTCCATTTAACTTTGCAAGTATAAACAACTTAAAGAGCTAATCAATTCTTTTGATCTCTAGAGCTACTAAAAATCATTTATTGAAAAATAAGCAGTAGCATGTGGCTTACAGATCATACTCCCTGATTATTCATCAAAATGACTCGTTTTCTCCATAAATATTAAAAATATAAGATTTTGCATCTTACTGTGAAAGTCACATTTGTGTGGAAAGGACGTATTTCAGGATAAAGTGGAGTGTTTTTCCAAGAAAATAGTCTCCCCTTCCACAGCATTAATATTTCTCCTTTATTTAGGTGATACCCTGAATTTTGGCAGAAATGCGGTACATCAAAGTGAGAGTTTAGCATCTAAAATCTACAAAAAGTTGTTGTACTTCCATGTGCTTTTTCTTTCACTTATATACTACATACACGAAATCCCATATAATCAGTTTTTATTGTGAACAATAATCAATAAAGCATTTGATTTCTGAAAATCAAGCTTGTTTTGTTCCCCTATTGTATGAGTCAGTGTCTGGCACATGTAAAGTAAAACGAGGGAAATGAGCTGATACATCACAGTAATCTCGCTGATAATCACTACCCATTGAGTGAAGGGACAACATGCTCACGACATGAGGCATTCTTGTAAAAGCCACCAAGTTGCAATTAACGATCTATAGATCTCATTTGCTCTGAATTAGTGAGTACTCTAATTTTTGATACCTAAGGACCTTATTCTGATTATTTTTATCTCATGTTCCTTCTCACAAAGGAAAAGGAAATGAGTTGTCTTCCCAATGCCAACTGAGTACACTCTTTTCTATGTATTTCTCAAATAAAAACGCAGGAAGGTATTCCAACCAAAGCAATCACATAATGTATTTCCCCTTTCACAAAGGTTTCAATATTCCTCCAAATCTCTTAACTACAGCAGATGATATAACATATGATTACAGTAATAATGTGATGACATTTAAAATATCATTGGCTAATGAAAAATACCCTAATGTACCTTCAAAACTCACTTGACTATGTTTTGAAATTTTTTCCATTATGCTCTAAAATGTATATTCTGATATTTCAAATAAAATTATCACCTACATGCTTCATAGCTCTACATAAACAAAAATGTGATCACTCTAAGTATCTCAATTACATGGGCAGGACAGATAATACTTGGTTTTTTTCACTTCTTTTCTCATAACAAAATAAATATTATTTCACTATTCCTGGCTGCCTTCATTAGCAAAGTGGAAAAATTACTGATGGATTCAAATACATGCTACAAAACAAAAACAATAATCAAACAGATTTGGAATCTAAATACCCATTAAGTTAATTTCAAAGAAAACTCTAATGTTCTGTGATTTGATTTTGTCTCAGTCAAGGACCTAGAGATGATATTCTCAAATTAGAACAACACAAATAGGGTTTAAGAGCTAAATTAAGAGTTTGAAGTATAGAAAAGATTTACACAGAATGGAGTCCCCATCCTGGGCATACCCTTCCCTCCCCTTGAGTAAGACCTTAAGTATCAAATGCCTAGTCATGTAGAGTCAGAGCCAATGTATTTGAAGCAGGAACAGAATCAGAACAGTTGGAATAAAAGGATTCTGTCACCCCAAGTAAGCCCTCACAGTAGAGGTAACCCAAAGAGTCAGCCTCCAATAGAATTTTAGTTATGCAGATGACGGTAATTCGATGCAGGTTTCTTATCTAGCACTTGACAGCAGAGTATCGGACACTAAGGAAACCAGAAGGTAACTTGGTCTCAACCCGATGAACACATGTCTACGTGAAGAAAGAGGGGAGGAGGGATACACCTGAGCCATACTGTTGAGAAGCAAACCCTATGCAAGGCGACCAGCACACCCACCATGAGAACAGATGACAAGGGAACACCTTCAAGATCAGGAACAGTGCTAGGAAAGATCCTTCCTCTGGGAACCAGGAACTTGGGAGACATTTTTATGAAGTCCTAGGAGGCCATGGATCACTACAGGCATGTTTATTACTATAATCGATCAAATGCATTAGAATTGCATCTGCCAAGCAGATCAAGGAAACATTTATCCGCTGTTTTAATGATGTGTGAACTTATACCACGAACAAAGTAATTAAACCCTTTTGGCTGTTTCAATCCTAAATAAAAATGTGCTTTCCCATGCCATCTCAAGTGCATCAGGAAAGTTGCTTAGCTTAGAAATGCGGTGCTCTCATTCAGTGTAGTAACTTCCACTTCAATAATGTGCTATAAAAACATAAGGTACTTTCTAATCTCCTTTGGAACATGTTTTCCCTCTAACATGAAGAATAAATGGTCACTTCTGACTCTCACCATTTTCCTCTGGCTCAACCAAGTTTCTACTCACTTTCTAGCAGCCTTTTCTTTTGGTTAATTTTTTTTTCAGAGAAAGATGCATAAACTTGCTTTTAAAACTATGTATTTAAATATATAAATATCTGAAAGTTCAATGGTTATTTTGTTCTGTTTTTATGGTTTTTCTTGCTTTCTTCAAGGATTTTTCTTAGGTGACAGAATGCATGTGTATGTTCTTACCATGTGTAACATGATGCTTTAAAGTACTTATATACAACTTTCTCATCATTAGCACCAGATTTGTCAAAGATTTTGAAATAACATAGGAGCCGAAACAGTAAAGGAAAACAAAAAGTGAATCTGAGAAATACAAAAACACAGTAATTAAACCAGATAACATATAAGCCAGGATTGAGAGTTAAACTAAAAGAAGCAATTCAGGACACAAACAGCCCACCTGTTGGATCCTAAAATTTATAGCACAAAGAAGCCAATTTTTATCTGAACTCAGTTGCAGGTAAAAAAAGAAAAAAAGAGAGAGAGAGAAAGTATTTGAGGTCTTCAGCCTGATTTACACTACCCAGAATACGTCCTACCGCATTCTAATTTGGTGTCACTGAAGCAACTAAAAGCATAACCTGTCCCATAATTGGGTGAGAGACTCAGTGAGAACCCCAAGAATCAAGTGAGTTTCCAGTCACATAAGGGATAGAATTAGTTCTGGAACTCTGTTATCTGGAGGCCTCAACTTAGTTCAATGATTTTTTTCCAGACAGCAACATTGCCATCTCTGTGGTGGACCTAAGATCTCTGTCACTGAATCTTAAAATTTTGCCAAATAAATAAATCAGTCTCTATAAATATTTCTATCCAGACTTCAATATATTAAAACACTGTACCTAACTTCCTGGTTTGTTGGCTGTATCAGAGGACAAGAAAGATAGATACATATTCAGCCCTCAAACTGGGAGTAGCTCTCAAGTTCATTGACTCACAATTACAGAGAATGTGAAGAGAAGATATGCTCATCTACACATTGCTTGTTGGAGGGATTTTAGAAACAGAAGCAGGACGAAAGACTTCTCACATCAGGCGATCACAAACTACCCTCATTCATTAGTTCCTACTCTCTTTAGTTCTCTCTCCCCCACTTCCAGGTGATGGCTCAAGTGGCTGGACTCTTGCCACTCATACAAGAGACCAGATTTGGAGTTCCCAGGTCTGGTTTCAACCTGATTTAGCCCCAGCTGTTGTGGGCATTTCTCCTTCTCCCCGTCTTCCCATCTTTATCACTCTTTCAAATGAAGAAAATAAATTCAAATAATTTTTAAAAATAAAGAAAAAAATGGCTGAATTTTTCCAAGAGTGTGCCAACTATAAACTTAAACAGAACCAAGAATATCAACAAATGGTAAGTATAAACAAAATCACAAAAAGACATATAAGTTGCTGAAAACAAATGATAAAGAGAAAACATCCAATACAGCCAGGTTTAGGCAAAAACCACATTATGCACATAAGAACAAAAATAAGAGTACTGTACATAACAAAAAAAAAAAATCCAGGCCCAGAAGCAGAATTACAACATAAAAGCACCAAAAGGGAAAATAAAAACAGTCAACCTGTAATTCTACACCCAGCGTAAATTAATGAAGGTTAGAAACCTACAGTTTCAGCTCCAACAGACAAAAACCTCAGAAATTATCACCTCTGTCCTTACAACAAGAAAAATACAAACTGAGAATCAGGACTCCTCACTGATTAATCAGACAAGTGAGGTTATGGGGCAAACTACCAACTTGAACTCTAAAGACAGGAGCCAGAGATACAGTTAACATCTGCAGGAGAAAATACCACAGCCGCAGTCTATAGGAATACTTAATGATAGTGTAGATAAACATACACCAACCATGGGCTACAATGAGAGCAAAAGATTCCTGGAGGCTGAATCTTCGGGAAAACACACACTCACAGCTTTTGCCTCTAGCTATGACCCTCCAGGTTTTCACAGCGAAGATCCAAAATAAATCTACACATGACTCAGAAGGGGAACAAGACGAGGAGTAACTGTGACACATGCCCACAGACTTCTTAATAATAAAACACCTACTCTGCAGAGCAAAACATCATTCTACTGCGTCGCACTTGCGCAACCTCGCCGTGGCCATGTGCAGCCGCTACGATTCCATCCCCGTGTCTACCCACCTGCTCGGAGACGCTTCCGACACGAGTTCCACCGGCCTTGCCCAGCGCCTAGCCAGGAAGACCAACAAACAGGTGTTTGTGAGCTATAACCTTCAGAACACAGACAGTAACTTCGCACTGCTCATGGAGAACAGGATCATGGAGGAAATGGAGGCCTTCCCTGAGAAGTTCTAGTGGAACAGCCGGAGCTCATGTATGGTACTCCGTAATAAACGGACTGGCTTTCATTGTGGAAAAAAAAAAAACCATCATTCTAAAGCATTATCACATCTGGGAGAAATGCACTTGCCTCAGTGGTTTGTGTTCTAGTTGTTCCACTTCTCATCCAGCTCCCTGCCTGTGGTCTGGGAAAGCAGTGGAGGATGACCCCAAAGCCTTGAGACCAGGAACCTGCGTGGGAGACCCCCAAACAAGCTCCTGGCTCCTGGCTTTAGATCAGCTCAGTTCTGGCCATTATGGCCACTTGGAGAGTAAACTAGCAGGTGGAATATCTTTCTCTCTGCATCTCCTTCTCTCTGCAAATCTGTCTTTCCAATAAAAATAAACACATCTTAAAAAAAAAAGATTTATTTTATTCATTGGAAAGGCAAATGGAGAGTGATTGATTTTCCATCTGTTGGTTCACTCCCCAAATGGTCACAATGTTCACAACTGGGGTTTTCTTACTCATACCTAATGGTATCCAGTTGTATGTTTCTGACTGAAATGTTGTTTATATCACTGAATGCCCTTAATGTTGGTCTAGAAGCAAGTGATGAGTGTCTACAATTTGGGTTGTGCAATGAAGATGATGATGAACCAAAAATATTACACCCTCATCCTACATCCTACAGATAAGGTTTATTATATAAAAAGTGTGTGGTTGAGCCAATCACATGTTACTGTTAGCTAAACAGGAATATTAATTCATGCAATGCTTAAAGTCAGCCTTACCGCAGAACTGTATACAGTATCTTCACAGAACACAATATACATCTACAGCCCATGAAAAGAAATTAAAGTAACCCTTTATTCAATCTGCCAAGGGACTATGGAACCTTATAATTATGTAGCTTTAGATAGAAGAGATACATTGCAGTTGGGTACACACAAGGGCACAGGTTTATGCCTCCGATGACAGACTGCAGAGGAAAAGCTCCAGAGTGCAAGCTTTACACCAGACCTCTTTAATTTATTTTCCCCAAACGCATCACATTTTAATGCTGGCTCTCTGACCCAGTATGTTAGCTTTTTTTCCCAAACTTATGATTAACTAGTACCATGGTAGCAGGAGCTAAATTTTCTTCCATTTAAAACTAAATTTTACTCATAAAAGTTATAACCCCTAAACACTGGGTGGAAGAGAATAAATGAGGGATGAAAGTATTTTAAAAGGACAAATGAGAACAGAAAATTGAGTTTTGAACTGTAATTACCAGAGCATCCAGAATTCCGTGAACCACGTCTAGTCAGTTCCAATCCTGGGCAATTTTGAAAAGTAGGGTTTTGTAATTAGTCATTTCTTAGCTTTCAATTTTAACAGTAATCTAAAGAAAAAACGAATCAGCCATATCCTCTATTGTCAAGCAGCTTGGTTCACAAAATTAGGATGATGTTCTCAGCCTTTATACTTGACCATGTGGTAATTCACAGCCTGGGATGGAATGGTAAAAGTGGACACAACTATCACTTTGATATCCCTTGTAATTAAAGACCACATGAAAAAATAATATGATTCAGGTGCCTGAATCATGTGAGGAGGCTCTGCACTTCCAAATTTGTCACCAGCATGTGAGATTGACTGTTCTATCGACCTCGAAAAAAAAAGGAGCGCACTGGAAAGGGCTACATTATCATATAAACATCACAGTTCTCCAGCCAGTGGTTGGGTCATTAGTAACATATTCTCTAGCCAAAATACCTTCTTGTTACTTAACAAAGAATTTGGATAACTACTTGCTAAATCTGATAAGTACATCAAGATTTTAAAGTTTTCCCCCATGGGTACTGAATAAAGGGAAACTTAATGGATGAACCTCGGGATGGTCAAATATGAACAACAATTGAATTACAAATAAATTAATCCTCCTCCTCTTATTTTCTTTGCTCTCTCCTTGGTACATTTTCTGGTCACAACCTCATAATCAGACTCAGTTTTCACTCATTACCATCAATAGTACTAAATTCCATTTCTCAATACATTATCTTATAAAAACAGATCCTTGCACATTTTAAATGTTTTAAATTATTTAAGTATCCTCTTGAAATTAACTAAGACTACAATGTATCCTTAAAAAGCAATTATTCCTAGAATGCTTGAAAATATTTTACAAAATTTGGCTTGCATTTGTGTAAGCTTTGACGATTGGGGATAGTGTAGTGGGTTATCCCACTGCTTGTGGTAGGTACCAGCATCCCATGAGTTCAAGTCCCAGCTACACCACTTCCAATCCAGCTTCTCACTAACGCACTGAGAAAGCAGAACATGGCTCAAGTACTTGAGTCCTTGACCCGTGTGAGACACCTGGATGGGGTTCTGGCTCCTGACATAGTCCTATCCTAGCCATTCTGGCCATTTGAAAGTGAATTGGTGATGCAAGGTTCTCTCTTTCTTTCTCTCTCTCTCTCTCTCTCTCTCTCTCTTTCTCTCTCTCTCTCTCGTCCTCACTCTTATTCAGTATTTCAAATAAACAAACCATTTGAAAATTAAGCCAGTCTCACATATTGTGCTTGTAAGACAGATTTTCTGAATGTTCCAGAGAAGCGGATTATCCAACATCCCTATTTTATTATCATCTCTACCTTCTTAGAATTCAAGAACTTGCCTTTAGTAATATGTCATCTGCAGCTTTATTTTCAGATGACTTCAAATAAACACAAGGATACTTACAAAAGGTCATGAAAAAGTGAAATTAAATAACAGATTTGGTGCAAAAATTTTTGAAATCTACGCATAATTTTAATTCACAATCATGTTTCATGAATTTCAAGAAAGCTTTCTCAGATATATGAATATATTGGAGTATATACACTGTCGAGTTTCAGTGACAAGGCATCAGAAACCTCATGTATGTGTTTCCATTGCTAACTAAACTTGAATAGAACATCAAACAGTCCTGATCAATTGATAGTGATCTCTCATCCAAGCCTGGAATTTAGCAGTATATATAATTACAAACATTCCAGGTATGTGTGGATCCAGAAACCAAACACACAGCAAGAGAGAATAAAGAGGTCCTTCATCCCCTAGTACACTCCCCAAAATGCCCTGACCAGCAGTGTTGGGCTAGTCTGAAGCAAGGAACCAGAGCCAAGAATTTCATCCTAGCCTCCCACGTGGGTAGCAGGGATCCAAGTATTTGGAACATCTCCTGCCTTCCTGTGCACATTAGTAAGGAGCTAGACTGGAAACAGAGTAACAGGACTCAAACTTGTACACGAATTTGTGCTTCCAGGATTGCAAGCAGCAGTTTAGTACCCTCCCATAGCACAGCACACAATCTACTAATTATTGAATATTTATTATCTATCAAACATGAGGATGCTATGAAAGCATGATTTCTGTCCTCAAAGATCTCACCATGTAAATAATAAAAAAAAAAAAAAAAAAAAAACAGGAGGGGGCAGCGTAGTAGGCTACGGGCTAAAGTCCTCACCTTACATATGCTGGAATCCCATATGGGTGACAGTTTATGTCCTGGCTGCCCCATTTTCTATTCAGCTCTCTACTTGTGACCTAGGAAAGCAGTCAGGACGCAGAACCTGCACAGGAGACCTGGAAGAAGCTCCTGGCTCCTGGCTTCAGATTGGCTCAGCTCTAGCTGTTGCAGCCACTTGGGGAGTGAATCAGTGGATAAAAGATCTTTCTCTGTCTCTCCTTCTCTCTGTAAACATGCTTTTCAATAAAAATAAATAAATCTTTAAAAAAGAGGCAGTGACACACAAATTAAGTATTCATGATGTGAGTTATAAAAAGGGAGAATCAAGATAACAGAATAGGGTAAGGACACATTTAAACAGATGGAAAAACATTTAATCAGGATGAAGCAAAGAGGACATATTCCAGATAATAGGAGAGGACAGAACAACAGCACAAAGATACCTGGAGACTGACAGACACAGGAAAGCAGCAGACACAACAGTATGGTGTTGTAGTGACTGATACTCCAGCAGCATTCAGCTAACAGAGATCTGAACTCCACCAGCAACCAGGTGGGAAGGGACTTTCACTGGGAGCTTGGGAGGTAAATCCACACAAAGAACTGCCCGTCCTGCTGGTCTGTTTGATTTGACCAGGAGCAGAAACAGAGCAGCAGATCACAGATAGGCAGCGTGAGAACAGGGTGGATTTCACAGCCCAGTCAGCCTCCTAGAGCCAAATTGGGCGCCATTTTGCTTACCGAGGCAAAGGCAAGCCAAGCAACTTTCTGACTCAGTGAATTGCATCATCATGGCATTCTACAGGTTCCACCCAAGACAGGTCCAGGTAGCCCTCAGATCTGATGCCGGCAGATCAAGAACTCTAGTTGGGGTATGTCAGGCACCATTTTTGTACACTGTGGCAAAAGCTTTGGGACTGCAGGGGACAACAGTGAACTGCGCATGTGCTGAGCTCGCAAGAACTTACCGAGTTCCGTGGATTGCACTGGTCCCGCAGGAAAATAATACCGACTGTAGCATCGTACGGGTAAAAATAGGTCCATGTGGCACCCAGGTAATATCCAACAGGTTCCGGCAAGATCAGTGCCACCAACAACCTAGCTATATAGGACACCTAGTGTCTCTCTAATCCTGGGACCTGCTCCAGCCGGAGTGGGAGAAAGGTTGCAGACAACGGTGCAGCCTCAGCACGGTATCACAGGAGGTGGAGAGTGGTGAACCAGGAGTTGGGGCTATGAAGTTCCTTGTGGAAATCGAACATAAGAACCCAGACCTGGAACTCGCCGGAGGTTGTGGCACAAGTGGCTGCAAGCAAAGAGCCATGTACCAACTGCAATCAGTAAAATCAAACTGTAGACCTGTGGGTGGCACAGCTTAGAAACCTGCCCCAAGAAGACTCTGCTAACCAGAAGTACAATGACCAAAAGCAAAAGAAGAGACAAAGGCACAATGAATATTACTGAAAACTCCCCTGCAAAGGAGCAAAACCCTATGCCAATCTCAGAGTTAACTGAGGAAGACATCAAGAAAATGGGGGGCACAGAATTCAGAAAACACATTTTAACTACTGATCAACAATGAGAAGCACATGCAAGAGTTAAAAGAA